AGGTTCAAAAATTTAGTTAGTTGTTTTTTAAGTCTATATAAAATTTAAAATTATAGATTATATTTTTGAGTCCCTCGACCCTCATAAGTAAGTCATTGTTTTTTCACAATAGTGACAAATTTTAAATAGTTRCATTATTGGTATAGATTGGAAAAACAATCTAAAAATAGCTTGAAGCCTAAATATTCTAATATCCATAATTAATAATCATATTCATCAATGACAATTGACGATATTTCATAATAATTATATCAATATATCATAATACTTGGCTTTGTAAAATAGTTAGCTTAGTTCCAAGGGGGGGGGGGCTATTGCCCCCTTATCCACCCCCTTAAACCCGCCCCTGCTTCGCATGGATTCCCGGACACTGCGGAATAACTGGTAATGAAAGAGCAGACTTACTTGCCAAAGAAAAAGCTAATAACTCACATCAACTAACTGTGTGCAATATTAAATCCAACAAAGACATTAAAAAAACTATACACAACCAAATCGAAAATAACTGGTAAAAATTAATAGCAAATTAAATGAGATAAAAGGGACTATCGAAAAATGGAATAGCCCAATGTCGCTCAAAAGAAGAGAGAAAGTCATACTATAAATCGCCTCGGAATAAGCCTACACATATCAAACTCATGGCCACCTTATGAAAAAAGAGCCACCAAAAATATGCCTTATATGTGTAATTACAAACATCAAACATATTATTACCGAATGCAGAGACACAAAAGAGGCAAGACAAAAATACAACATACCGGAACACCTTCACGACGCACTGGGCCCTGACGAAGAATCCATCCAAAATATAATTTTATTTTTGAAAAATATTGAATTGTACAATTAAATTTAAATTATTATTATCATTTAAAAACAAGCCAATGGTCACGTTTCCGAGGCTTTTTCCTTAATAGAAAAAAAATAAAAATAATAATATTTTAAAAATGACATAATATTTTATGGAAAATTATTAATATAAATGTTTGGTAACAATGCCAAGTATTTACGATTATATTATATTATATTATGAGCTATAGAAGTAATGTAATTAAAAACTAGTGTGAGTGAAAATTCCCATTTTTCTTTGATTTTTTTCCTGTTTTAAAAATAACAGAATTTCTTACTTTTTGATCGTTTTAATTTTTAAGTTTTTAATTTTATGAATGACAATATAGATAATATATTTTTAATTTCATATTTCATACAATAATATTTTTCTAGTAGTTACTGTACATGAAACTTTACTTAGTAGCTAATAGCTTATTAATTAATAATTAGTAAAAATATTCATAGTTTTGATAAGTGTCGTGGAGTAGCACTCCTAAAATATTGTGTAAAATATAATTTTACAATTAGTGGCAAATGTTAATACTTGTTGAGGTTAAGAATGTTTGATCTCAAAAATCACATTGTTAGTAGGAATGGGTTTGAATAAAATGTTAAATAAATATGACAATATAATAATTTAGATTAAAAAATAAGATAAAATCAGACGCCTTCGAAAATGTTTTTCTATAATTTTCACAATAATTGGTAGTTACTATTTTTTTTTTAAAGTGTTTCTTAAATCTTTTTAAAATATAATCGATGATTTATCAGCGTAAACTTGTTGATTTGATAATGAGTATAGATAATATGTAATTACGAATATGAAACCTTGGTCTGGCGTCATCTTGATACGTATAGTATGATTAGGAAATTGTCTGTTAGGTAGTAATCATAACACATTTATATTTTTGTTCTTATTCATTTTTTTTTTTTAATCAATACTTATATGGTAAGTATAGTACTTCAAACGAATCAATAATGTTTACACGTCTGTCCACTATAAAACTTAAGATTTATTATACTTTGATACTTTGATCAACAAACACACAATCGCCAATCCTATAGCGAGTTGAAAAAAATACTATCAGAGTTTTTAAATGAAATTTACAATACAATAAAGAGTGAGTCATTGTTAATGACATTCAMTACTGAAATATCTCATATAAATTATATAAAAACTTACTTAAATAAATACTGACTCGTGAATTATAACTATTTCAATCAAAAAATCAATTCACTGCTAAAAGATTACATAAGAAATTGAAAAATTAGTTTAGATATGTGTACGGTTTACAGTAGTCTGTGACTGAATTTAAAAAAAAACGAATGAATTGAACGTACAAATTATAAATATTTAAGAAATAAGACAACTACCAGTTTTTTTTTAACGAAAATAATAAATATATACATATAACTTTTATGTAATACATTTTATATTTTATTGATATTATTTYAAAYASTAACAATAAGCATTTAAGTATAAAAACATTTAACTAACCAATTCGATCATTTCTTTTTACACAGATTACCGTCACAACACAATGATATAAGAACTCGATGAATAAGTAATCAATCAATATCTATTATTTTCATATTATACTCTAATTTTAGCCATATATATTATATTTCCAATATAACAATTAT